CGCGAATTTTTCGCGGAACGCGAAAAATTCACGAATATATGCGTTCGAGCGAAGTTGCTTCGAACGTAACTAGCCGTAAGGTGAGGTGAAAGAATCTTCGCTGAGCCAAAAACCAGCGATATTTTCAATCTGAATACTGTTTCCAATAGCCCGAAGATTTTGAGGTGTATATCGTCCTTTCATGAGAAAAGTTGATAATAGGGTCTCTGGAACACATGACCACTGAAAAACCATGTCGTTGGTTTTTGGTCAGAAAATTTTCCAAACCATATAGCCTGATAGAGCATAGAATTCTAAGGAATAAGACATCTCCCGTCTGTGTGTAATGCTTTTCTACGCAACTGCAGACGATTTACGAATGGCTACAAAGGGCATGAAAATTAACCAAACATTTCGGTCACAACCCAAATTTGGGTTGCACACTTCAAAATCTTCGGGCTATTGGAAACAGTATTCAGATTGAAAATATCGCTGGTTTTGGCTCAGCGAAGATTCTTTCATCTCACCTTACGGCTAGTTTCGCTCGAAGCAAGCATTTTGAAGCAAAACTCTGAATACAAAGTTGTTCGGAATCGAATTCTGCAGTCCGTAATGAGAAGCTTTTTTAAAATTGTCTTTTTTTGGTTTTTAAATTGAAAAATACGAAATTTTAAAACTTTAAAAACCGTAAAATTTAAATTTAAAAACCGAAAAAAGACAATCCTTGAGTAGAAAAAGTTTAATTTCAGTGACAGAGATTGTATAAGGCAAAAAAAAGACTTTATTTTCTAAAAATATATTTCAGTTCTTGTTTAATAGGGTTATGGTGTAGATCGTGTGGAATTTCTTTTCAGCAAATTTATTGTCACGCTTAACTATGATAGGTGAATCGTCCGAATAACAAACGAAATGACCAAAACGTCTAGCTGATGCAGAATAAATAAAATTATTTACCATGCAACCGAGTCGATAGTCGATGGTATTATTGGATGGTTGTGATAAATACCCACATACGTATAAATATCGGGTTTATACGAGAGATATTTGACGATCGTATTTGATTTTTTCAAAAGATTTTTGAGTTCGTTTTTCATCATTTCCCTCTCGTCCAAATCCAAGTAATTGTTTGTATAAACGCAAATAACGTGACATATTTCACGGTTTAGTTCAGACGATTGAACTTTTGCCAGAGCGCCCAGTTGACCTAAAACGATAGCTTTAGCGATGCATGACCAAACGTTATCGACTTGTGATGTTCGTACAAAACACATCCATTTTCCACTTAGAACATTGTATTTTCTCGCCAGATGTTCCATACGGGAAACACTAAGTTGTTTTCCCAACAGTTTATACTCTTGACACAAGCCATCGATATTTGAAGTGCCGAAATTCTTTTCTTTTGATTGATTATGCACCGATATCCATGCGCAGCCTGTTGAACGATTAATTTTGGATGGCGTCATGTCAATAAGAAACTGATCGATCTTCGAGTTATCGCGTAACTGCAGCCACCCATTAATAAATGTAGCATACTCTGGTTCATCAACTTCCATTGGCTCACTCTCGTTTTTGGACATGGTTTCTAACTGATGAAATATCAAACTGATTTGAATCTTAAACTAGGCTAGTAAAACGAAAACATGAAAGATCTAAGTTGTTAGTGAAGAAATTAAAGCTAATTTCTCTTATTTGTCTATATTTCGAATAAAAAATGGCTTAGTCTCAAGCATTGTGATGATTAAAAAATGCACAATGAAGCTATTCTTGATGCATTTCAACTTGATTTTTTACATTAAATGTCAATCAGACATCTATGCATCTAGAAAGTCACTTGTGAGTCATCGTTTTTTTGACTGTAATTCCCAAATGCGACACTATTTTTAAGGGGAATGGTTGAAACATTGATAGTTGTATAAATAAATGTATCGACGGTATCTCATATGCATGAGCATGCTCTAATGTACAGTCAAAATATGTACCCAGTTTACATGAGAGAACGCATTCAACATGGATAAACTAGGCATACGTTATGTCTCAGTAAGTTACTGTGAATGCATAAAATCGGAAATGTACCCATTTTTCATGGCACCTTAGGCCTTTTACACATGAAAATTTTTCCATCAAAAAAAAGATGACTGTGCTAAAAGCATTGTGAATGCATTTTTTTTCAAAATGCACCTCCTTTTTCCATAATGCGCATATACTGGAAAATATACACTTTAGCATGTTTCTGTTTTGTTGAGCAATAACATTACCTATCATGACTCATACAACAGTACATTAAAGCATCATTAAAGACGTGTAAACAAACACGAAGCACACACAGTACATATAGTAAGAAGTCATGAATGATAAAAACAATATGAACTACTATCTGTTTCAAAATAAAGTGCGCACGGTTGTCTTTTGAATAACTCCGAAATGGAAGCAGCTAGAGATATACGGTTTTCACCATTATGTAGGCAAGACCTGAAGACATGTTTTTGTAAGCAAA